TGTATACTCTACTCCCTAATGTCTACTTTCTACTCCCTACTCCCTAATCTCTACTCTACTCTTCTCTACTCTACTTCGTCTACTTCCACTTTCGGACTGCGGGGTACAAACTTCCATCCTTTTTCCCTGCAGGCCCGCTTGCAACCCTGACTAGCCTCTTTGGGACTAGCGATCAGCGCCAAATCAAGATCTGCTTCGGGTGACGCTAGCCGCCTCGGGCAGTTGATCGATCGCCGGGCTCGTACTCATCTTATATTAGTATTATTCATTTAACAATTTAACAGAAGAGATGCGAGCCGGGCGGGAGTGAGATTGGAGCTAGATGGGAGCCAGATGGGAGACGGGAAGGGCTTGTCGGCAGACCGAGTCAAAAGGGGGCAATTGAATGGACGAGAGACCAGAGACGAGAGGCGTGGGCGTGGGAAAGAGCTTGACTGCCCCAACCCCGACCCTGCAATAATAATAATAATAAATAACACAGCTGCTCTGCTTGGTGGAGCTTTGGGTAGTTAGTTGGGTGGCGTTAAGTGACCAGCACTGCCTCTTATTATTTTTTTTATTTTTTATTTTTTTAGTCGACCAAAGCTCCGCTCAGGCATGACATTACTGTCTCCAATAAAAATGGCTGCTCTGGCTGTTCTTTTTTCCCGCTGTTTGTTTGCTGCTGATGGTGATGATGGACATGAGCATGGACAAGGGTATGGCCCACGGTCACATCATACTTACTCTTACTTCTCACTACGGAGTAAAGCTTAAGAGACTTACTTACATACAGCAGGGCTTTCCACTATGCCATAACTAGCCAGGACAGGGACCAGCTCCGTGGTGGCTGATGGCTGATGGTTGAAGACGGGTTAGGGCGATGAAGTCATCCCGACACCATAGTTTTTGTTAGTCAAAGTCCTCACCAGCCACTTTTCTCCAGGCTGCTTCTTCCGTTTCTCCCTTGGGCCCCTTCCTTCGCTTCTTGCCTCTCGCTCATTCTTCCATCATCATCCATCATATACTTGAAACGGCCGTTGCTGGGTATCAGAAGATGGGGTTTCCAAAAGATGGGACGCAGGAGATCTCCGTCGGTGAAGCTCTCGGATGACGGCAGTCCTTTCAAGTCCCATCCATCCCCTCCCCTCCCTCCCCCTTGCTGTCAATTCCTATCGCTGTCGGCTGCCATAACATCGTCATATCATAGCCATCACCCAGGTAACCACGGAGGGAAACTCCGTATCTTTTCTTCTCTCCCTTGTTGGGAAAAAGCAAGCTGCATCGACGACAGCACTGGTGCCACCATCGCGCATGGACTGTACATACTTACAGCGCTTTTTACACAGCACTCTGTACTCCGTACATCAATAATATTATTTATCCCGCTCTCAGTTCCTATCCCGGTCTGGTCTGGTCTGGTCTGGTCCGTCCGACGTGTTCGGATCGTTGCGCCTCTCGATGGCCGATCGGTTGGAGCTCGCTCACACACCTCCGTGCATATACCTATATGTAAGTATGCACGACTGCGAGCTACTTACCAGACCGAGTTAGAAGCTCCCTCTCTTGACAGCCATCAAAAAAGGAACAAGAGCGCGCGTGCAGACGTCGAACCCGCTCACTCATGCTGCTGGCTCCATACATCATAGAATAAATAAATACTCGCGCTACTGCTCTCATAATTCTTTTTATGAGCCTTGTTTTGTCGGTCAGAGACGGTTGCGCGGGTCGAGTTCGCCACTCTCTTGATTGCTGGTGGACTGTTGAAATTAAACTGACCCAGTGCGCCCCCCCCCCCCCCCTTTCCCCCTTCCCCCCGTCTTTTTTTTCTCCTTTTCTTCGAACGGTCGTTTTGGCGCGCCCGCTCTCTCTCTCTCTCTCGCTCTCTCCGGGCGTTTCCAGCAGGTTGATTTCGAGGACTTGATGTTGGTTTCTTTTCTTTTTTTCTTTTTCTTCTTTTTTTATTTTTTACCAGGTTGGAAAACTTGTTTTCTGTGTTGGTTTTTTTTTTTTTTTTTTGGGCGAACTGTACTTATGTAATTCGAATTACATAATCTCGCCAAACCCCCATGGACAAAAGATACTCCGAAACCTTGATGACCGCCCGGCATGTCCAGCCAATCACAGCCCAGCTGCAGATCCGGCTGACCTAAGAGACTCGGCTGCAATCATCATCACCATCATCGCTATCCAGTGGTTATTGGTAGCGAAGTTATATCTCTCCTTGATCGGTTGGCATTGCATCGCTAGGCAGCATTTTAACGGAGTAATACCTCGTCTGCTGCCTTGGGGGTGCTGGATACTGGGTACTCCAGACACGTCGCCGGCCTCCGGATACCCATCCTTGGGTTGGCTGTATCATAACCTGCCCCTTGATTTCAATCGAGGCCCTTCAAGATCCCCGGGAACACTTGACATTTCATGGCTCTCTCGTTGTGCTCAAAATTATGGAGTTTTGTCGGCCCCTGGCCCGCGGAATACGCAGGAGACTGTCATTGTTTCCCTACCCGCCATTTCAAGCTTCTGTATCACCACCATTATTATTGCCGAAGATTTTCATCCACTGCTCGATGATCAGAAGGATACCCGAAGAGGCCCATGATTTATTCGACTATACCTCGGGAAGATGGATGTCTGTTGAGATAGCCTTCCATTACCTCTGGTCACCAAGTGTATGAGACTAATTATCTGCCTGCTTTTCAAGCTACAATGATGCCCTGAGACACTCCGAGAGACGGCGCTGCTTCGACATTTCGGAGCTTAAACGGCTCGCTGCTGCGTCCATACACCAGCGAACGGAAGATGTTGCCAAATTCGAGAAACTTGCCGAAGGAGGCTTCAACCGAGCCTTCCTCGTAACCATGCGCGATGGCTTTCAGTTGGTTGCCCGCATCCCTTATCCGTCGACAGCACCAAAAAACCTCCTCGTTGCCAGTGAAGTAGCCACTATGGGTTTTCTTCGCTCCCATGGTATACCCGTTCCAAAAGTCTATGGTTACTCGACAGTGTCAACCAACCCGGCGCGCACGGAGTACATCTTCATGGAACTTATCCGCGGTAGGAACCTAGGAGACATCTGGTTTGACCTGTCAGAAAGACAGAGGATCACCGTTGTTTCTAAAATTGTGGAGCTGGAGTCCCGAATCTTTGCTCTGCGGTTTCCAGCAAGTGGAAGTCTTTACCATTGTGGTGATCTTCAGGGTGAAACCGCCAGAACCGCCGTTCCCACCGCCGACCATTTGTCCGGCGAGAACAATTTTTGCATCGGGCCCGATACTACACTCGGATTGTGGTTCGGCAAACGACTCGCACTATCGGCTGAGCGCGGTCCATGTAAGTTCTGGTGTTTTTTCACAACTGTCATTATCCGCAGTCTGCGTAGTTATAGCCAGCCATTAACAAATTTACCAGACAAGGATTGTTTGGCTGCTCTGACGGCGGGCGCTGAGAAGGAGATCTCATATCTGACTAAGTATGGACGACCTATCCTACCTCTCCAGCGTCTTCGGCGGGAAATATACGACTACAAGCCCCGTTCACACCTAGATCACTTGGTGAATTTGAGACAGTATCTGCAAATCGCACCTCATCTAATACCACATCATGACCCGGCACTGGCCCGCCCAGTCATGCGGCACCCAGATCTCCAACCCAGCAATATATTCGTCACTGACAAACTTGAAATTACCGGCTTGATTGACTGGCAGCACTCCGCCATACTTCCACTCTTCCTTCACTCCGCTATTCCAAACAGCTTCCAGAACTATGGCGACGAGATATCGGAATCAATGCAGCTGCCTACCCTACCAGCCAACTTTGACGAGCTCGATGAAATGAAACAGTGTGCGGAAGTAGAACTCCTACGCAAGCGCCAGCTGCACTACTTCTACCTTCGAGAAACCGCCAAAATGAATCCCGAACACTTTAATGCTCTGATGAACGGGCTGAATACTTTAAGGCGCAAGCTTTTCCATCACGCCAGCGAACCCTGGGATGGCGATAATGTGACTCTGAAAGCTGACCTGATCTCATTAACAGAGAAATGGCAACAGCTTACTAGCAGCTCCGGCTCGGAAGTACCCTGTCCAATCACTTTTTCGGAGCACGAGGCTGCTGCGTGTATCCAGCTGGACAAAGCCCAGGTAGAAGCCGATGAACAGTTACAGGCTTGTAGGGAAGCTATTGGAGTAAGCACCGAAGGCTGGGTCCCCCTTGAGTTTTATGAAGAAGTGAAACAGCGTGAGGTAAAGCTCAAGGCCGATGCTCTGGATGCCGCTGAAACCGAAGAGGAGAGAGCGAGGACAAGAGAGCACTGGGTATTTGACGACTTTTGCGAAGAAGACTATCTTTAAATATGGTAGGTATGCATACTCAGGTATTGTTAAATCTCTACATGCAAAGTAATGGTATGAAATCCTTTCGCGCTAACATCTAACTCTTCTTCCTTCTTCTTCCTTTTTTTTTTTTGTTTTTTTTTTTTTTTTTTTTTTTGACCCGGTATTTTATTAAATGGATAAAATAGGCCACTTTGCCTCTTTCAAAGTATTTCCTGCTCTCAACGGCCATTGAGTTTCCACGTCCCCTTATCATGGGGAGGACCCGCGTCCTCCACGCCGCTCCAGATTTTCGGCGAAAATACTTGGCTTCTGAGCCTTCAGGAGAGTGATGTACTCTCTCTCCTCCGCACTCAGCGTATTAATCGGGATCGTCTGTTCGCTCGCCCCGTCGAATGATAGCAGGTGTGATACCCCTATCCGGGAGGCGCTATGCTCCAGAACAATCTTCAAGTCCTCCACTGTCGGAGCAGCAACGGGGTACGCCAGCCACGGCTCGACACCGGCGGCGAATAGGGCTAGCGCAATGGCCACCCATCTTTTGGTAGCCGCGTTGCTCACGACACCGGGTGGCTGCCGGAATTCCACTGTACCACATCCACCTTCGCGCGCGTTTCGGAAGTTCCAAGCCACAGTCTTGTTGGGAGAAATGTTCTCCCACAATTCGGATTTGTCGGAAAATCCTTCGATCCAGGCCAGGAGAACTGGCCGCCCAGCCATATATTTGGCCCTGAGTTCCGGAATGATTTCTGCGTTCGCGTGGCACCAATCTGTGCCACGCCTGCCGGATGGTATCAACGCCGTGATGGCGGGCTGAAATACGGTGACGAATGCAGTGAGCTTTTTTAGTTGGGCTAAAGTGAACCCCCCTACAGGTGAGAAATGTATGTGGGCTCCGCAGGACGGGTCACCCCGGACTTCGAAGCTGTCCGTCAACGTGTACCAGAAAAGGTTTAACTGATTCTCCCACGGTTTATCAGTATAGAGTATGCTGGTGATTATTTCCACACCAACTAATGATACCCACGGTCAGAATTTAGGGTGTCTTGATAGAGAGAGGAAAGTAACCAAAGCACTCACAAAACCCATCTTTGGCCATAATTGAGGCGTCGGCAGCCACCTGCCATTTTTCCTTGTAATCACTGTCCTCGTTGTATAGCTCAACTGGCAACCTCCAAAGCAAGCACTGCTCAACAAGTGTTTTGTGTAATGCAAGCATGTTGATCCTTGGGATATTCCCCACGGCATAACCATGCTGGGCAGCTACTCCTAGCATGTGGGGTTTGGGCTTTATGAGGAGTTCTATTTCAACCCCAAACGAGGCCATGTTTTCGACACGTAATAAGAAAGATATAGATGCGGATGAAGGAAATATTTCGAGACTTAAGGGAAGAGTAAAAGAAGAGGGTAAGAAGATTCAGGCTTGGGATACGGTGCTATGGAGGAATAAGTCGATGACAGTGAAGTTTCCAAAGTAGTGACTTAGAGAGAAGTGGTTGGAAGCTATAGTGACCAGGTAAGAGGTGACTTCTTATATCTATTGGGATCATATCTTCAAATATGCTATCTACTTATCCAGGTCGGTACAAGGAGACAGGCTCAGGAGAAGGAACAAAGAATGTTGTGTTATGCATGTATGTGTTTTCACTCCATGTGAATAGCCACGGGTATCCACAGGCCATTATCAAAGCTTCCATACAAATGTTTTCATACTGTGTGGATAGCTAATGGATATTCACAGACTGTTATCAAAGCTTCCATACATGTGCTTTTACTCTATGTAAATAGCCGTGGACAAATTAAATGGAATAACTATGAAGCCTTCTAAGGAATCAGGTAATCTAGATAGTTCTAAGAGGGTAACTTAGAGTGTTTGCTAGAAACCAAGAGGCTGCAGGCCTCCGGTTGAAAGGATGATAGTTATGTTCTTTATTGGCAAGTAGATTAGGCAAAGCTGGCTGCAAACCATCTACCCAGACAAATGTAAATAGTTTGCCTCTTTTGAAGAAAGCAAACTACAGGGCCTAGGGCTCCAGCCAAAGCAGTCACATGATTGACAGTTCCCCCGGACCTCATGGATAGTCAGTCAGTGATGTCATCTTTGACTCACTCAAAGACTTACAACTACTAAAAGCAAGGGGACAGTCCGCAGTCTTCTGCTGCTGGCTGTCCGATTAGTTATTTGCTATATTCTTCTAAATAAACCACAGACAAAAAGAACAGCAGCACTTTCACTATCAACATACACCTGTGCTAGGCCAGACAGACCGACAGAAGTTGTCGAATTCTCAAACAGCTCTCACCCGTCAAGCTACCTACATACCTACCATGGACCTGGATCCGGTCGAATACCCCGTCAACAGCCCGCAATGGAGACGGGAAATCTCTCGACTAAAGGCAGAGAAGCCGGACCGATACAAGCCAGAGCAGTGGGAGGAGGCGCGAAGGAGAGGGCCGTCTGAGTGGCACTGGGAGGCACCAGTCCTTCTGAGGGGATTGCTCGACACCCCTGAGAAGATCCAAGAGCACGCCGGCCTGTCTGAAGCGCCCAGGGTGCGGTCCGCCCGGACAGTTCCGGATAACCTCATCCACCCCGCGGACAAGCTGGAGACTGTACAATACTGCATGGTGGACGGGGAAGGGTACTGTAGGCTTAGGGAACGATACCAGAATATCAAACTCACGACTCTGCTCATCGACGGCGAAAATCGAGCCAGCCACATCTTCTATTCTTAATCCAAACGCCAGCCAGGAGACCTCACTGACTTGGCTAACTATGGGTATGCATTGCGCTTTATCGGCTTGTCATTCTTCGCTCTATTCTTTTTGCTTACTGACGTGTGTGAGTAACTAGTGCAGGGGACTTGGACTTAGCTCACTCCCGCAGCCACTTCACCAGCTGGAAAATCTGCCTAGAAAGGATTTGGAAGCGTCATCTGTTGGTTAATCTTGGGACCATCTATTCTTTTCTTGCCTTTCTCTCCCCTAGTTTTCAATAACTACACATCTTCCGGGATGCATATTGGATATTTCTCGAGATATTTTGTTAGCTGCCGGACTACCATCTATGTTATAGACGCTAAGTAGTTAGTTACAATCCAACATATTATTCGTTACGAGAAAGACCTTTGCAACGACGACGGTACACACACATGCCTGACGCTTTGGTTGCCATGCCGGGAACGCCGAGCAGAAGCCAGGCGTAGTTTAACTAGTGGGATGGTAACCAACCCGCTTCTTTGCATCACAAGATAACTATCCTCTGTAGGGAGCAGCAGCAGCAGTTAACTAGTTAGTAACTAGACAAATGCTATGGTAGTAAAAGTCTCTCTCTCTTTCGATAGTTTTATATCACCCTCTCCCCCAACGGCGTGGAGTAATGAGTAAGTTAAACTTGTTGACTAACCAGCGATACGAAAAGGCGAGTGGCCATGCAATAAACGCTGATGCTATGTAACCCCACGGGGAGAGGTCGTGTGAGAGGCAGGGAGGAGGAGGCTGGCCAGGTGGGATAAACTAACACAACTGGCTCTACTGGCTTGCCGATGTTTCAGCAGCTCGGGCCGTCTGCAGCTGGTCTTAACTGCGCAAGAACAGAAGAAGATGCAACTGCAGCGGCAGCGCGTGTCTAAGCTGGCCGTTGATGCTACCCATCACCGTCGTGGCATCTCTTTCTCCGTCTTTTCTGCGGCCGGCAAACTCCCGTCCGATAAACAGGACAAGCAGAGAGCAGACACAGCTACCATGGCCCAGAGTCGCGCAACTCACTCCCAGGTTGTCTGTCCCAGGCTACGCCGTACGCCTGCAGTCGCCCTGGTTTATTTAGTTAACTAAGGAGTTGGTTAGCCAGAAGTCATCTAGTTATCTCGTCGCCCTTTACCTGCCGTCTCACCACCGTAGAGTAGATATTATAATAGCAGGCCTCTCCCCGTCTGCCTCTGTCTCACTCCGCCTCTGCCTCTGCCTCTGCCTCTCCCCTAGTTGCCCCCATCTCTGGCAAACTCACAGTGTGGTATCTTCACCATCACCGTCGAGCGAGCGTCGCATCAAACTGGGAGAATGTAACCAAACATCGAAAAAGAAAAGAAGAAAAAGCAAAAAGCTCGCGTGTCTCGGGGATTTCTCAAGCCTTCTCTCTCTGTCTGTCTCTCTGTCTCGTCGCATGAAGACACGGATCGCAGTAGCACCGCCGCCAGCAGCAGCAGCAAGTGATAATAATAAGAGCAGCAGCTGCACCGGCTGTGTTGGAGATAAAGAAAAGTCGCATCGACCTCTCGCCGCTTTGTCAGCATCCTCGCTTTTTCCTCTTTACCCGTTAGTTATAAGATATAAAACTTCGTCCTCGCATTCTCTTCTGCTTCTTCTCTTCTTCGACTTCTTCCTCCTCCTCCTCGAGTCTGATCCAATCCAGAGACATCCTCGAGCACTGCGTCCTGCAGCCTGAGCCATGGCTGACGCGAAACCCGACTCTGCGCCCGCCGTCCGGGTCAGCGACAGCGACGATCACGACCACCACGACCAGCAGCAGCTCGCTGACCTCGCCAGGCCCAAGGGATGGAGGTACAAGGAGCTCAAGATCGCGGGCATCGGCCTCTCCTGGTATGCGTCGCCCAGCTTCCAGCTCGTCCTCGTCTCCTTTGTCTGCTTCATGTGTCCGGGCATGTTCAACGCCCTCACCAGCTTGGGCGGCGGCGGGAAGACCGACAAGACGACCGCTGATAACATGGTACGAACAAGCTTCTCTCTTACTTATACACAATTCCCGTAGTTTATTCTTTTCTTCGTACTGTGAATGCAAAGAATATTCTAACTCTACCGCTAGAACATCGCGCTGTACAGTTGCTTTGCTGTGTTCGGCTTCTTTGGCGGCTCGTTCGTCAACCGTCTCGGAGTGCGCCTGACCCTCGCCTTTGGAGGCATCGGATACTGTCTCTATGCCATATCGCTGCTTGTATCTGTCCACTCGACACACGTAGCAGGGTTTAACGTCTTTGCGGGAGCCTTTCTCGGTCTTTGTGCCGGCCTCCTCTGGACCGCACAGGGCACCATCATGCTCTCCTACCCAGCTGAGTCCACCAAGGGACGCTCCTTTGCTGTCTTCTGGGCCATCTTCAACCTCGGCGGTGTCATTGGCTCCTTGGTCAGTTTCTCCGTCCCTTTGCTAAAACACACACGTCTATATGCATCTATACAATGCGCTAACCCATACCGACTTATATAGATACCCCTAGGAGAAAATATCAACGTCAAGGGAAATGTCAACGTTACAGACGGCACTTATATCGCCTTTATTGTCCTTATGGCCACCGGAGCTGTGCTCGCCCTGCTCCTCTGCAATGCAGGTGACATCTACCGCCGCGATGGCAGCCGAGTCGTCATCATGAAGAACCCTACCTTTAAGACAGAGTTCATCGGCCTGTGGGAAACCATTCGCAGCGAACCGTACATCGTCCTGCTCTTCCCACTTTTCTGGTCCTCCAACTGGTTCACCGCATACCAGTTCAGTGCCATCAACGGCGCATACTTCACCACCCGCACCAAGGCCCTCAACTCAGTCCTCTACTGGACCTCACAGATCATCGGCGCAGGCATCTTCGGCGTCTGTCTTGATTCCACAGCTATCAGCCGCTCGCTTAGAGCCCGCATCAACCTCGCTGTCATGTTCGCACTCACCATGGCAATCTGGGGCGGTGGCTATGCCTTTGCCAAGGGATACACACGCGAGTCTGTCGATCCTGAGGCTGGTTACAAGGGCAAGGATTGGGGTGACAACGGTTACATCGGCCCTATGTTCTTGTTCATGTTCTATGGTTTCTATGACGCTGCTTTCCAAGCTTCCGCTTACTGGTAGGCCTCAATCATCTTCCATCTTATTTATTTTCTTGTGAACCCTCCAGCTAACTTCTGTAGGTACATGGGCGCTTTGTCTAACTCTGGCCGCAAGACTGCAAACTACGTCGGCTTCTACAAGGGTATTCAATCCGCTGGTGCTGCTGTCTCCTGGGCCATCGACCTCAAGAAGATAGCCTTCATGTCCATCTTCGCCAGCAATTGGGCCCTTCTCGCCGGTTCTCTCGTCGTTGCTGCTCCGCTGGTCCTCAGAATCAAGGACCATGTCGACATCGAAGAGGATCTCAAATGTTCTGACGAGACCATCGCAGACGTGCTTCCTACCGGCCATCCGGAGAAACACTCTGCCTAGACGGTCTCTCACCGTTTCTCTTCTTTTTCTTTCCCCCATTTCTACTTATTTTCTACTATTTTAATGCCGTTTCTGACTTAACGCGACAATATGCTTCGATTCGATCTACCGTCTTCCAAATCTGA